TGTAGGAAACCTCTCCGACGTACGCCCGCATTAGGCTCTCCTTCTTTGTGGTCGTCGGACTCGTCGGGTCCACCATCGGTTCCTGAATCACCTGGGATTTCAAATTCTCACATGGACACGCAATGGATTAAACAATGAAAAAGGAACAAACCACCGTTGCAAAACCACTGGCGATCACAGCCTGACCACGCCTTCTTTCACATTGTGTCTTGGCGAAAGAAAAAATAGACTGCCCTTCGTACAGTTACCCCGTGTTGGTCCTATATAGTACACGCGCGCACCTACGTGGTTGGATGTGTGTTTGCGCGCGCGTGTGTGCACATGCGTTCCACGCTGTTTTCCTGACAGGTATTCTGTCAACTTTCTGCCTTTCTGCCCTTCAGGCCAGGTCTACTGCAGTAGCAGTAAAGCGCTAACTTTTCGTGTGAAAACATTTGTATAAAGCTCCTTCGCTCTTCCTGCATGTGTTTCGCAACATCTTCCCACTGTGGTGTGCTGTGTCACCCCGTTGGAGGGCGCTGACTTAAGTGAAGAATATATTCTCATTGCGGTGTTGTATCGCAGCTCACCACCAGTTTGGACAACAGCAACGGAGACTGACAGTTCTCTGCTAGTTCTTAGCTTTGATGGGTTTGTTTTTGGTTGTAGGCTTGACTCACACTCCTTCAAGCACCGCTGACGGCGCAATATTCAAATCAGAAACACGCCACCTCCCCACTGACATGCGCAGGAACCCTCAAACGCATTGACGCGCCAGCTTTTTCTCCGTTCACAGGTCTTCAACGCTCGTCAGGATATCTTGGCAGGTTTCCGCATGTACACGCCTGCCCGGGACAACCCAGGACGCCGCTCTAAAGTGAAAGGCGTGCGTTTTTTTGTACGTTGAGCTGCTGGTCGTCTCATGTTCAATCCTGCGTCAGCAACTGTCCGCTTCTCCGATTTTCTTTGGTCTGCAAGAGGCAAGTCAACTTGTCGTTGTGAGAGCCACTCCGCCCACGCACTTGTTGACCATAGCGGATTGCCCAAATAGCGTGCCAGAAGATGCCCTTCGGGCATTTGACGCGATGTAGGGCTATGCAACGCCACCATGTGAGGGATTAGCTTGCCAAGCTGTTGGATGCGGAGCTTCAGGGCAAGAGTGCTGCGATGCATTTGCTGGACCTGGCGGAACCAAGCGTTGATCTCCGCATGCAACGCCTCATTCGAAGCTGTACCAGACGGTAAGAGTACCCGGACAGCTTCGGGAAGGAAGTGCCGGTAGCGCAAGCAGTTGAACAACCATTCCATGCGGTCACCCGCAGTCAGGTTGTATAGGATGGTGGCAACTGTGATCTTTGTGCCGTCAATCTTTCTGGCCAAGTCTTCACTGTGAACTGCTGCCAGAGCAGCTATGGCTTCCACGAACTGCAAGCGGGTTGGCCACACCTTCAGGGCATCCGAGGCGCTCAACACCTGTTGTGCTTTTCGTGCTGGCATCGACCCTGATTTAATTTCTTCGCGAAGTTTTTGCTCTTGGCCAGTGATTCTTGGACAGTTGTTGCCCTCAAACATGGGCCCCCCATATGTTGGCCGTGATATCAGGGTCTCGTCCACAAAACTTGGCCATAAACTTTCGCAGCGTACCAGATCCGGCGGAACGATGCTTGCCAAGCGCCTGCTCGTAGTGCATGCAGGCATGAGTAGGGTCTAAGGACACGCTGGTTAGTTTGCACAAGGTGCCCTTCAACTCTTGAAAGAGCTTGCCTGAAGGGTTGTCAACTGCAATGTGCTCAACCTGCTGTAGCCCTCGCTCAGGCAGCGCTGATTGCAAGCAGTGCAGTATGTGAGAAGGCCCTTCACCAGCTGCAGGGATCAATCCTAAGACAGCGCCGCTCCGACCTCTGATGGAAATCACTCGGGTGATGGAACTCTCTCCTGTGTATGGGAACTGCTGCCGAACACTAGGTGGATCATTGAATTTGGGCTGTCCGAGCAATGATAGACAAACACGAAAGGTGCCATCTATCGACAAGTAGGAACATTCCGCATGGTCCATTGCCTTCGCGAGCAGGCTCTCTGACAAATTTCTGCAAACGGGCGAAGAAAATGCATCCTCGACCAAAGGCCACCAATTTGAAGGATGCAAAGGCAGGAGGTTTGTCAAGGGGTTGCGCTGCGCTGCAGAGTCCAGCAAGAGCCGTTTGATTGCAGACTTGACCTGATCAGGGGCAGTCAAACTGCATATGCACAAGTAGACGGCTACAGTTATATATTAAACCTGTATCAATGAACAGACAACATGAAAACCTTTTGGCCATTACCTTGCCTTTCCTTGGTTGAGAAGCATTTCCTGAAAAAGTCTTTGCGCAAAGGTTCGTGTGTAGGACAGCTTGCCGTTCGGCAAACGACGAAAGTCGCCAATTGCGCTTTTATGGGCTAACCTTGGCCCCTTCCCATCCAGCACTAATCTAACCCAACGATCGACCTTATTGTTTCTGGGGCTGAGAGCTGGGCTGACTTGAGTTCGCAGTAAAGCTGCACTTCTTTTGAGGTACGAGCCAGAAGGCTTTTGCGCGATCATGTCATAATCATGCAATGCCAGGATGACCCGTACCTGTTTGGTTCCGGAGCAGCAGTACTGATTCTTGCTAGTGTGGTACTTTCGAAGATGTTGGACCACACGACAGCAGCGATCAAAGCTGCGAAATGGGCAAGCAGGACATGGGAACTCTCCATTCCTTTTGCGGATGGCTCCCTTTTGCGCAGCCTTCAACTGCTCGACAGCTTCTTGCGCTAACTTTTCAACCAGGCTAGTATCCACTGTAACTTTCCCTTCAGAGTCCAACCATTCAAAAGCATCTGACAGCACATCGCTTTCTTCGCTCTCTTGCCAGACTTCTCCAGCATAGCTGTCACCGTCCGAGCCAGCTGCAGAAAGGTCCATAAGATTTTGCGAAATCTGTTCTGTGATGCTGATAGCGCTATCTTGGAGCATGCCTTGCTCAATTTCAGCGAGCCCAAAAAGAACTACGCTGCTGCTGTCGATTCCGCACGCCAAGGACTCGCGGAATGATTCTGATGACACATCAAAAGACGCGCTCGTATCCCACACTGTCACGTCGCCGTCGCTGTCCTGGTATGAGAACGCCACACAATGAGGAGCTGATCCATTTTCCATGTGCAGGAGCCATTTGCCAAGCGGTACATCTTTGAGCAAACAGAAGGGCACAGGAAAGAGTGGGCATTCAGCAATTTTGCTGCACTGCATGTATGTCCGACTGCCACGCTGCTCCATATATGCTGCAGATTGCGGATCTGCAAGCTTCATCGCAGTTACCCTTGAAGCAGCCCAATGCCATCAGGCCATGCAAGATGCAATTTCCTGTTCGCCTCAAAATGTGTGTGTCAGGCAAGTCGGAAACCTTGTGCTTGCAGGCTGTTGCTTGTAGAGACTGCAAGACTGTCCGATGTTTCTTTTCCAAGACTTTCACTCGAAAGCCGGTCGTTGAGAGGATGTGCTGCTCACTTTCTGAACAGAGCTGTGCAACTGTTTTCTGAGACCCAACATTCAGGCGCACACCGTCAAAGTGCAACGACAAATGCTCTGGCCCAACTTCTTTTTGGATGTATTCACACCAGGATGTCAGGATATGGTCTTCTAATGCAAAGTAGAGATGCGACAATATAGAACTGTCTGGGTTTTTCTTCTTAGATTCTGCAGACGCAAAGCACTTATATTCATCGGTGAACAAAGACATCGCCGGCCAGCGACAGAATACTGATGCCCTTTGAAGGTTTTGCACGAACTGAGAGGACCGCAGACGCTCTGGCGTGGCACCTCCGTAGAAAATGGACACCAGCAACTTCTTGCCATCCTCTACGGACATCTGAAGCTCTTCCGCACAAACAGTAGGACGGTCCGTTGCACATCTGTCCAAAGCGCTGCGCACATCATTGGGCATTTGGGGCTCGACAATGAGCTTGTCCAGGAGCTGTGACATCAGCGTGAATAGGCAGTTCTGGATGTCCAAATCAACCGTGTCTCCCAGCAAATGAGCTTGGGCACGACGAGTGAAAGACTGAGCGCCCACACCTGTGACCTGCTTTCTTGTTCTGAGCGTGTCCGGCTCTGTGTAGTGATAGGAGCACTTCGCTTGTCGCACTACGGCTTCAGCTTCTTCCTTGACGTTGGGCATACTTTTGCTGGCGCGACGCCTTTTCACAATCTTTCCTTCAGGAAGCATTTGGTCAAGCAAAAGATCAGCTCTACGCTCAGCCTCGACCATCTTCGTGCTTGCTTGCGCTAAGGACTCTTGGAGCTTCATCGTGGCAGCTGACGCCCGTCCGACTCCTTTGCGCAAACCGAGGTGCTCAAGCACTCCACTCAGGATAGTAACGTTTTCCTTCCTGTAAGGATGCCCGCACACATATTGCTGAAAGGAAGGTACATCGTATACTTCTGGGAGCTCCAAATCACAAGCTCTGCATCTGTGGTCCATGATGTCTGAGAAAGGTTTTTGTGATGTCATGAGTGGAAAGTAAAACACTGAATCCCCTTTTTTGGGAGTCTTACTCCAGACTGCATTTCCTCGGTCTGATTGCCCGCAAAGGCTTCGATGAATGAGTCCTTCTAAGATTTCTTCTCTTGTGACATTCGGTCCATCCTTGAACTTCAACGCTAACACACCAGCTTTTGCAAAGAACACCCGTCGCTGCGACAACATGGTGCTAAACATGGCCTGACGGACATTGTCCCACTCCTTGCTCTCAGCTCGCTCTGTGTCAGAGCCATTATCTACATCAATGATGCCGCTACTTTTTTGTCGCATTTTGTCGAATATCTCTTGGCGGAAGACTGCACGCAGAACGCATTGTTTTCTCTGTTAGACCTCCGTCGCCACCCCAGAGGACATAATTTTCAATCATCTCTTCGCACTGCTGCCTCGAATGTTCTGCTTCGAATGCATGTTGAATTTGCAGTGCAGCAGCTACAGCTGGCCCTGACACCAGGAAGTGTGCCAAGTCTGGATCCTTGGGGAAAATTCCATCAACGGAAATCTCTGGGTATGTACTTTCAATTACATGCGGGTCTTCAAACCGAGACTTGACCTGCCACACAAAGGCCCTTCGAAAGATGGAATTGAAATCCCGCTTGGTTACTCCACTCAATGTGAACATTCGGTTGGCTTCTAAGCGCTTCCAACCTGTACAATGAATCATGCGGGTTTTGAACCCGTACGGCTTGCGGCCAGCTATTCCATCGCCGCTTGCAAACTTCTTAAAGAGATCCTCTTTCAACTTGCGATTTGTGCCAGGGGTTTCTTGTCCGGTCAGAATGCAGCAGCCGTTCAATTGCTCAATCTGTTTTCTGATCTCTTCCTCGTTGTACCAGATGTTGGGATCGAAGAAGGCGAAATTGTGCCCATACATGGCACGCAGGTGTGTCGAAAATAGAGATTGCCCCACTCCGCCACTGGAGAGCCCGATGAACAACCGGACCACGTTCAATCCTCTCTTTGCTAGAGCTTGCGCAGCTTGGCCGCACTTAAACACTTGCAGATTTCCCCAAAAGGTTTGCGCGTAGAATTTGTGCAGCCTGTCAACAATGGCTTGAGGCACTGCACCCTTGATGCAATGAGGAATGCGAAGGTAGCAGTTTTCAAGGGTTCTCCTGTCTACTTGGTGGGCGGGTAGAAGCTCATCGTCATATTGAATGGCGCAGTCGTCATAGCAGCATGAAGCTTGGGGCTCATGAGGGGTTTCGCACCATTCGCTCATGAAATGCAACAGCTTTTCTTCTGTCATTTCTTTTGCTAGCTGCTTCTTTACTACCATGATGTTCTTTGCGGTGCCAACGTTCCAACGGACAGGTGGTTCTGGGTCCTCTCCCATCTCACCTTCACCCACGTTTTGCCTGTCAAACCGCCGAGCAGGACCTGATTCACCCTCGAAATTAAGGCATGCATCTGCACACTGTTCCAGAAAGGCCGCCTCATCCGTGGTCTGTGCAAACAGAGCCTCAATGGCAGTAAGGATTCCTTGCAGGTTTCTCGGTGTTTTCGACGGAAGTCTCCGGAACATGCCTTCGACGTGCATCAGAAATGTTTGCACTCGGTCATGATCTGGTGGCACACCCCTGTGTTGCTGGAAGGCCCCAGATGGTGTGAGCATGTAGCAGTCGCCGGCATGAAACCTCAGGGACCGATGGCCTTCAGCGATCCAATAAACAAGGGCATGCTCCCGCAACGAAATGTCGGCCAGGCGAGCCCGAGCAAAGGCTAAGGCGCACACACAAATACGAATGAAATAGTCTGACTTTCCTGGCAGTTCTGCTTCCACACGCTGCCGCCAGAAACGCACTTTCTCGATGATTGTATGTGAGTTGTCCATGGGCTCTCGGACACGCCCTTGAAATAATTTGTTAGCAGCCTGCAGGCGTAAGAAGTGTTCGTCGAAATCCTGCGCTGACGTGAAGCAGTGTGGTTGATGCCTGCGACGCTTTAAGACCTCAAACGTTGCTTGCTCCACTTCCACATCCATTTCGACAATGGCACCAGCAGAGCCATCTTCTTCCTTGATGATTGGTCTCCTAGGCTGAGACTTAGCCGCTGTCCGTTGCACAGATCCTTGGGAAGGAGGCACTTCATCCATGAAAGCGTCAGGTTGCCCAACTTCTGGAAATGCGTTGTGCTCTTGTGAAGGCATACTCCCACCGCATACATCAGCCTGCCTCCAGTTGGCTGGCAGAGCATCAGCCTGGCACTTCATCATGGAAGCCGCTTCAGTCTGCATGTCGGGAACCTTGTCTACAAAGCCTGTCGGCCAAGTGTCTGGATGAAAGCCCACCACAAACATTTCTGACACAATGACCCCATAGTACTTTTCCAGCAAAAACTTGTACAAATTCAGCTGCAGTCGGTAGTGCCATAGCGGCGCATCCGGCACATGAGAGACTGGAGGAAGCATATGTCTTCCATAAGAGGCCTCCTTCTGCCAGAGAGCCTTTGACCGCTTCCAGTCGTACAACACCAACGTGCCATCTTGCTTCTGGGAAACGAAATCAATAGCGCCTGCGATGCACTCCCAAATTTTCCATTCTGTTCGGAAAATCTTTCCCTCGAGCCCGTGCAAAAACTTGAGGAACAGCTGAACTTCTGCAGTCTCAGGGCAATCTCCACCGTTCAAAATGCACTCGAGGCATGCGTGCATTCTTGTGCC